GTCCACACGTAAACGGCGTTTTTGGTCACTGAAGATTTTTGAAAACTCCATTTTTGCATTTACCGGACTAGAAAAACGGAGAAAACGCAGCGTCAAAGGTGGACACGCAAGCCTCAAGCAACAATGTGGAAATGTCTGTATAATTATTAACCAAACCAAACCTTCATGTTACAATTATTAATGAGTTATTACTATTAGTACTTCTCGTAAAGTTGAATCAGTTCATCTGGACGTAGTGTTTTGTGTTGTTGTGGTTGTTGATCAATGGTCATGAGAATTTCCGTCCTGATGAACAGAATCAGGTTTTGGAGATGTACTTACCTGGATGACTGGATGCATCAAGACGATACTATTAGTACAATTTGAGAGTCGTGCAAATTACATGTTTTACCTGCAAGAAACCAAAATGGGAGAAACCCAAGAAAACGTAGTGTTAGCAGGTTTGTGCTCCGAGTCCTTTGTTACTATGACCAGATCTCAGCTTTTGCCGCTGTTCTCGTGCTCTTTGTTCCAAAGCGTTACTGCTGTATTCAACATTTGAAGAGCCGTCCTGAAGATGAATGCTGGGCAAACATTACAGGAGTCTCTAGAAAACATCAAACATCCACTGCAATCAAGTCTTTACGTAACACAGCTGAAAGAACCAACATGGCCACATTAATCATTTAACCTTAAACCTTCAGAAGCTCAGCGTACGAGCTGCCTCCTCGGGTTACCAGCGAGCGACACTTGATGTAAACGGTTGTGCACAGGTAAGTTACGCCAATTCAAGCAACAGAGCGAGACTCAGTTGTGCCTTAAACGAAAATAAAATAATATTGTATTAACCTGAGAGATTGTACAGTAGGCTGTGGGTAATATTTTTACTCCTCAAAGTCTCCAGTGTATTCGCACAAACAAAGAAGAAGCACATTACCGTACAAATCCCGTCTTTTAAAACCAATATCTGACAGTAAACCTCTGGGAGCCAAAATGTCTGGAAGAAAAATCCATCCAACATTTTGAGGCATTTGAATAACAAACTGTCAGCCGCTCAGTACGAGTGGAAAAATGACGGCAATGTCACACCGAGCATTCATCTGGGAGCCGTGAATATCTGTGTGAGCCAACCAGCAGCCGTCTCGTGCCAGTAGAACCAGTACGATTCAGCCTCTGGAGACTGTGCATTTAAAATCCCATAAAAATTCATCCAGTAGTTACACTGGATGAGACATTCAACCTCCACAAAGACAGACTCCAGCTGCACTGCCACACGTACAACTACGGGAAACATCCAGTTCAGGTTTATTAATATAACCTCAATTCACAACAACAGTCACCACAAGGTGTTTTATACAGAAAGGTAAAGACTGGGACACCAGCAGCGCTTACTCAGGAGAGAGAATAAAGTTAGAATAAAGTTTCCTAGAGAACAGGTTAAAATGTGTCTCCATGCTGAAGAATGGCTACATTTACACGTTTATAAAAGCTGAAGAAAAGAAAATGTTTCCATGCAAATTAGGGCTGCTCAATGAATCGAATTTTAATCACGATTACGATCTGGGCTTTCAACAATCATTAAAAATGACTGAGCCGATTATTAGCCCCTCGCCCCGTGCTTTCAGGGCGGCCGTGGCTCAGGGGGTTGGGAAGCGTATCTGTAACCGGAAGGTCGCCGGTTCGATCCCCGGGCTCTCTGTCCTGGTCGTTGTGTCCTTGGGCAAGACACTTCACCTACCGCCCTCTGGTGTTGGCCAGAGGGGCCGATGGCGCGATATGGCAGCCTCGCTTCTGTCAGTCTACAACTGGGCTACAGTGTGTGAGAGTGACTGAATAGTGGCATTGTAAAGCGCTTTGGGTACCTTGAAAAGCGCTATATAAATCCAATCCATTATTATTATTATTATTTACTCTCGCACTGCTCCACTACAAACTTTGCTGCGGTGTCGTAGCTGCACCACAGAGCAACACTGCAAATTTATTCAATCATTTATTTCAATCAAAAGTTACTACTTTCAGTGTTTCATTTTATTTTTGTTCAGGCAGCAACTTTTTGATGCAATTGTGCATTGTGTGGCTACACAGCTCGCCTTGATGTTTGGTTATTTGTATGCATAAATATTATGCAGTATTTTGAAGTTCACTAAACATAGATGTTTACATTTTTCATTTATTTTTTATATTGCAAACATTTGCACTGTTATCAGTATTTGTACACTATTTTATATTATTTTTTGACAATCTTTAAAGCCATTATTCAACACATTGTTATTGTTAAATAAATATCGTCAAATAATCGAGATCTCAATTTCAGTGAAAATAATCGTGATTATCATTTTTGCCATAATCGAGCCCTAATACAAATTTAAACCATCGGTGCAACAACGAGTGCCGCCTGTCAACTAAGAAAAGTGTCTCTAAAGCTGGGGTCCCAAACTCGTGGCCCGGGGACAGTACCAGCGGTGGCCCCGGAGACCCCTGCAGTAAAACGTGGACGTAGCTCCCAGCGCTAAAAGGTAAAGCTGCATTCTTTCTAATGGCCAGCAGGAGGCGACTCAACTGTCTGGCCTCTGGTTTGGTCTGAGAAAAGAGCTTCACGCTCGCTCATTAGACACCTTCCTGATCAGCTCAGAGACTTGATCGCTCATTTCAAGTCTTACTGAGCACAACATCAAGTTCCTTTTGGTGGCAGAGCAAGTCAGCCACTTATCAGAAGGTCGGTGGTTCGATCCCAGGCTGCCTCCGGGCTGCGTGCCAAATATCCTTGGGCAAGAGACTAACCCCATGTTTGCTGGTGGTGGTCAGAGGGCCCGGTGGCACCAGTGTCAGTGCGCCCCAGGGTGGCTGTGGTTACAATGTAGCTGCCATCACCAGTGTGTGAATGTGTGTGTGAATGGGTGGATGACTGAATGTAAAGCGCTTTGGGGTCCTTAGGGACCAAGTAAAGCGCTACACAGACCATTTACCATTTTCATTTTGTGAATTTGACCCCTGCTGGAGAGAAAAGGGGCTAAAACAAGGTGGTCACTGGTCCCTCAGTGTCACACCAAACATCAAAGCACCAAAAAAGGCCTAACCGCCAGCTCTCGTGGCTACATCTATCCTTTATACACAACACGTTTGCCACACATCCACTGCAGCGCTGAACTTGTGGACATCACTTTCAGAGGCGATGTAAGAACACAATTACCCGACAGAGCGAGTCTGACTGCACTCATTTGCTCCAGTGTGAGAATAGAACAGGTAATAGCACAGATAATGCCCACTCGCTACGCACCAGGCTGCCTCACGCTCTGTCCAGGCAGCAGCCTCGCCCGACCACACTGAGCATTTCCAGCAGTGAGAATGTGACTGAAGTGGACCATTTCCTGTGGTGTTTCATGTGAGGAGGGAACATTGAAGAAACTATTCCAACCTGGGTTTTCCAAAACTGCTCAGAGGATATAAAAATAACTCAGTTTGAAGCTCAAACCGTTAAAAAAGCTCAAACGTAATGGAAGCGTGATATTTCTACTGATTTCACGTGTTAATGCTGCAGCTCTGTCACTGTTCACGACGTCGACATCGCTCCAGCAGCACCAAAGCTGATGTGTGTGTCGTCATTTATGTCATCGTTGTATCATTTATTTAGATTTCAAAGGAACAAAGACACAAGACAATCTGACACACACACACACACACACACGGTCTGTAGCAAAGTCAGAAGGAATCGAGCTCCTACTGTGTAACTAAACTTTTCCAGTTTAGCCAAGCCTCAAGCATCTGCAGGATTTTCAGATTTTTCTGGATGGATGGTGTTTCCACTCAGTACGTTTTCCTTTTTTAGCCACAAAATCAAAAATGCATAAAACAAGTGGATGGAAGTTCACCTGGAGGATCTGAGAGAAACAAACACACACACACACACACACACACACACACACACACACACACACACACACACACAGGTCACACAGTGGCAAAGTCAGCAGGAAACGAGCTCATATTGCACAACTGATCCTTCACTTGACCCAGCGACCTCACGCCTCCTCACTGACGCTCCAGGTGATGTCTGAAAATCAAAGCCATGAAGCGAAGGGACCGGACGAATAAAATGTCAGGAATATGTTTAACACAGCAGCCGGGGAAAAAGAGAGTCTCATTTACCATGCATGGGTTATCAAATGCAAAGCTGGAAGTCAAAGTCACACGCTGCACTGGCCTCTCAAAGGCTAATCCCACCCCGCATGTCCCCAGTACGAACTCCAGCTTTAAGTGTACAGAAGTGGAGCAAAGACTTATTATTTCATTTATTGGACTTTTTGGGGTAATTGGAAATCTGTCCAACTTCTAAAAGTGTTTAATCCAAGTCTAATTCAATCCATTCACATTAGTTTATAATAAATAAGTACGTCTGTGAAAGATCACCAGTGGTGAATGTCAAATCTGGCAACGTTTTGGCATTAAAAATAAAACCAGGATGGAAATCTGAAGGATTTCTGAGGCTGTGAAAGCACCGATGACCCAAATCCATCTGATTTCTGCTTCCACGTTTTCTTTATATGCAGACACACAGGCCTTTTTAAGAGTTTGTATTTTAGACACTAATTGGCATCTTGGCAGAGAGGACGAATGAGAGCAGGAGAGAAAACAAGCAGTCACGTTGATTTAAGCCAAAGATGGAGAGAGGGGCGGGGAGACAACGAGCAGAGAGAGATGAAGAGAGATAAAAGTGGCAGAGGGACAGAGAGCGAGGACCGTCAACTCAAAAACGGCAGTGGCACTGATAAAAGCAGAGGGATGGATGGTGGGGCACGAAGAGGAGAGAAGAACAAAGAAGGTGGAGATAGACGAGGAGGAGGAGTCAGACAGACCCAGAAAATTTTGCTCAGGAAAGAAAAGGAAACGGAGACGAGGCCCAGATGATTCCTGATGTTGTTACAGCTCAGTTAGAAATCACCTCCACCCGTGTGTGGGAGCACATCCACCGAGTCCATGTGGGGCTGACAT